TCAGTGTATGTGACTGGTGCCATAAGCACTGTGCTACGCACACCGAGCCCCATTCATATTTTTTTAGGGGAAAGTCTGTTGAAGGTGTGTTGCTGTAAGGTCTTGAGGGTGTCACGGAAAAGTGATGACGTGAAGAATAAGCACACTTATTGAAATTGTGTTTTAAATAAAGGTGACCATCTGCTCACTCAGGCAAAATGGTGAGCTCCTTTATTTGTGGTTAGTTTAAATAGAAAATCTTGTGCATGCATCCTATACAGCAATGACCTCATTGACATTCATTACAATCCCTCTGCACATGCGCATTGGACATCAATGACTTCATTAATCCATTTAAACATCTTATGACCACCCACCCTGTAAGTAGCTCCTCCCTGGTAATCTGATAATCCACCCAACATACACCTTTAAGCATAACCCTTTCAACATAACTCGGTTTAACATAACTTAATGAAGAACATGTTGTCAGTTATTACTTTCGTTATTCTTATCTGATGAAGCCTGAGGCTACGGGGGAAAGAGATGATTTGAAAGTCTGTCCTATTGACCATGCCATTTGGAGGCAGTTACTTTGAGTCTTTAAACAAAGCATAGAGAACCTTCTCAGGCATACAGGAATTTATGTACCAATCTCTGTTCCCATGTAGGCCTTAAGTCAGGGGTTTTTTGCTGGAGACTTTTGTAAGGAATTGTCAGTCTGGATTTCTCAAAAGCCTTTCATGAGCACAGGTTTCATCTGTGCCATTAGATGCCTGTATGCATTGGGTAAATTCTTCTTCTCTTGAGGTTCCCTAGCACATTTCATTCCTGGACCCATCAGCAAGCGACCTTCATCACTTACCACAGATCAGGAAAGGTTCCTGATGGGTATCTGGCCAGTTTTCCAAAGGGCTTTTTCATTGGCCTTATCAAGTCAACCTTAATTCCTTAATGCAGTCTGGAAATGCTATTCCAGCCAAAGCCTTTGTCATGTTAGGCCCACAACTAACCTGGCCACATGGGATTCTGCCTTAGTTTCTTACAAGTATGCCTGCACAAGGTCTTTTCACTGCTCTCTCTCAAAAGGCATTTTTGGCCAGAGGCATATAGGCGTTTCACCTATAAAGGTGAACTCGCAGTTTCAGTTTGTCTAAAAACATCTTGAAGGATATTATTACTGGGTATAAAATAATTCCAGACTTTGGCTTTTTGACTTTTCTCCAGCAAATTGAAAGAATCATTCTAGGGTCTTCTGGCTTTCATAGTTTCTATTGATAAATGAGTTGTCTTTGCAGTTGCTATGCTTTTGAGAGTACTTTCTCTTTATCTTTGTTGCTTTTATCTGGTTTCTTTTATGATCTTCTTCAGTCTTTGGATGTCTGCAGTTTCACTAGGATTTGTCAAGAAATGGATTTCTTTGTTTTTCCTGCTTGAGGTTTAAGCAGTGTTCTTGACTCTGTGAAGTTTTTATTAATTTTAGAATAAACATTTTCGATGTTATTCTATCCAGTACTGTCTCTTCTCTTCTATCAAACATCTTCTCACTACTTCTTTGAGTCTCTTATCTTTTTTGTACTTTCCATCCTTTTAACTTTAGAGGGTTTTATTTACTAAGTTTGTTCTTTGGGAAGAAACTATGAATAATTTCCTCAAACTTGCAAATTCTCTCTTTAGCTTTCTGATTTTCTTATAAGTCTTATATGAGTTCACTTGTTATTATATTTTTGAGCCCTAGAATTTCTGTCTTATTTTCGTTCAAATATCCAGTATCTCTTTTAAGTTTCCAATTACCTCCTGAAGTTTTTCATGTTTTCTTTTATCATCTTCATCACAGAAAACAGAGTTGTTTTATGACTTGTGTATGATGATTCTAATATTGGGAGCTCCTGTGCTGTTTCTATTCTCTATCTTTTGTGCTGGCTTCAGTTTACGTTGCCATGGCTCCTCAGCTATCTTTGTGTATATGCTGGGGAGTGTATTTGAAAAGCTGATTGTAAACAGAATTTGAGGTTTGTGGATAATTTTCCCCCAGAGATGATTTTTATTTGTTCTGCAATATGCCTGTGGGTAGCAGCAAACTGGGATGAATGTAATCCAATTCCAGAAACTCGACATTTCTAGGCTGTCCAGTGACTTATAGCAGAGCCACATTCTAAGCTGGTTCACTCATACTCTCAGGGTATAGCTCTTAGAGTACCAAACAAAAGCAGAGGAAGTATAATATAATGGGACCCCCTACTCTATCCAGCCTTCAAGATTATCAGAAATCCATGCTTCACTTCTCCTTTCCCTTTTCTGGTTGGCCAATGCCCCTGGGACAGAAGTGCCCCCTATTTCCAGACTCACCTTTCTATAGGTCCAATTTCTTCTGGATCCTGGTTCAGTAATTCTTCACGATCATGGTAGCCCTCAATTGTCTTTGGGCTGATATTTATTTTGTTTTTTTTACTTGTCTTCAGAGGCCTGAGTTAACTAGTTCACCATTATATAAACTAGATGCTCTCACATAAAATATAAATTGGATTCCAGTCTCTGTTCTGGAACTTTTCAGCTGTTTTGAACTTCAACAATTTGCTTATAGGCAAATTTCCTATGTATAATTTGAGCAGGGTCTCTGGGGCTCCTGCAAATCAGTTTCTATATGCATGAATGGCTCTAAATCATGCAGTGCATTTTAAAATGAGGAGCCCAGGGGAGAGTTACAGAGGGCAGTGACTACTGCTTTCAATTTTGACAGGGAGAAACAAGAGGCCTGATATCAGTCCTGCTTACAGAATCCTAGGAAACTTTATTAACTCACAATGCTCACTAACCTTGCAGGAACAAGAAAACAGAGCATTTCAAGCCCCATTCAAAGAAGTACATTGGACAAAGTCAAAAAGTCCCCAAGCATATCCTACCACAGCCTTTCACAAAGCCATCCCGTCGCCATGACAACATGCATCCATGAGAGAAGGCAAGAGCCTTAATCAGAAAACACACAGGAAGACAGTTAACAGCGAAATAATCCCACCCTGCTTTTGCTCAGCAGTTTCTCCTACTAGAATTTTCTCTTCACAGTCTCTTGGCATCTTTTACTGTGAGACACCCACTTCTTCACTTCATTTGCTCCTACATGAACTACATATTACACATAAAGAACAAAAAATGGAATACAGGTCATGACCAGGTGGCTTTTTAATTGAACAGTTTAAAAACTAGAAGGCTGTAAGGGAATACTAATCCTGCAGAGCAAAGGACAGGGACGTTGGGCAGGGCAAGTTTGTCTTTATAATCCGGGCCCTCAATTGGGGCAGTCTCCTATATGGAACATGTTTTTTAAAAATTCTGCTTTCAATAATCCGGGTGTCTTACCAAAATTCTAGCTGTAAAATGAATGATCATTTTGCTGGGTTTTCCCATGGCTATCAGGAGAGTATAGCAATTTTGTACATTACTACATTGTCAAGAATCTAAACATCTGATTTATTCTTTAAAAAAAAAACCAGATACATTCGAAAGCCATCACTGGGTTTTTTCAATGTACAAAAAAAAAATTAAGTATCTCTGCCAAAATTCATAGGTTCAAAAAGCCAACAGGGTTGAACTTACAAAGGACATTCAAGATTTGTTTCTGGAAAGTCGTTTGATTGGTAAAAAAGATATAGGAAAATCATCACTATGGAAAACCAAGGTAATAGAGCTCTAAGTTTGATCTTGTATCGACACAGTCTCTTTCTTCTAAGGGGAAGAATATCTGCCCATGAACAGGATGCTGGCTGAGGGATTGTGCCGAATAAAGAAAAGGAACGGATGGTCGGCAATGAAAGTTTTCCCTGACATCGAGCTACAGAAGGCAACCACCCCTGCTGTTGCAGCCGCTGCCTCTGTACCCTTTTCATTCACTTCCACAAAGGACTTGTGGACAATTTTTGATACAAAAAGACCTCTGGCTCCTGACATGCCAGACAGATCAGCCTTGGTGCTATTAAACAGGTCCTCCACACCCAGGCGGGTGAGGTGGTTGTTCAGGACGTAGCTGTCTTCCAGTTTGAACCGGGGTAAGCCAACATTGACTTCAGTGACTTTCAAATGCTTGGTCCACTCCTGCAGTTTTTCCAAAGTCAGTTGTTCCTCAATCTGAAATTAGAATGAGGAGGAAAAGAAGAGGTGCAATCAATTTTATATAAGTAAGGCAATAGGCATCATTTAATGGAATAGGCCCATAATATTAGTTGCTAGTTTTCTTCATGCTTTGTGTCAAAAAAGAGTCCATCTGGAGGATTCATTTTTTTTTTTCCAACTGGGGAAATAGACGAGCTGTATTTCAAATCATCCAGGGTCCAAACACAGAGACTTTGGACATGGGATACATCATCCATCCTCCCCACCCATCCAATCATCCATCTATCAACCTATCCATCCACCCATCTAGCCATCTACACATCTGCCCACCCTTTCATCCACTCATCTATCCATCCACCTAGGACCTGCTAAACCCCTACGGCAACAGATTACTATGATGGGCTACGATAGCTATTATTACCCTAATTGGTTAAATGGTGCTATGGAAAATTCAAAAGCCTTCTATTTATTCCAAATCCCAGCAAGCTGAGGTTATCTGTGAACCTCACTGGAGCTGAGGTACTGTCTAATAACTTTAGCTCTTCGGTAAAAATTAAAAAGGCAGATGATGCACTCAATCTAGCTTCTGGTCTAAAATACAAATAATAATTTCACCTACCTTACAGCATGTTGTGAGCATTAAATGAGCTGATAAACATAAAGTGCTTGGCACATAGTAAATGCTAAATAAATGTTAGCTATTATTCATTATTATTGTCATTGTTACTATTGCTAGTGCACTGAAACAGAACCATCGTTCCACTTGTTCTACTAATGCTGATAATCCCTTCCATGAGGCTAGAGATTTTCACTTTATAATTAAAGACTAATGCAGCTTGGCACCTATAGCTCAGTGGCTAGGGCGCCAGCCACATATACCGGAGCTGGCAGGTTCAAATGCACCCTGGGTCCACCAAACAACAATTAAAATACAACCAAAAAATAGCCAGGTGTTGTGGCAGCACCTGTAGTCCCAGCTACTTGGGACGCTGATGCAAAAGAATCACTTAAGCCCAAGAGTTTGAGGTTGCTGTGAGCTGTGACACCATGGCACTCTACCCAGAATAGCAGCTTCAGACTCTGTCTCAAAAAAAAAAAAAAATTAAATACTAATACAAACATACAACTGAAGAAGGACCACACTGATTTCAACACCTGCTCTCTACAGGCAAATGACTACTATTAGATCCCCTTCCTGGTAGCAAGTTGAGTTGAGAAGCAGGCAAAGGAAAACCACAGAGCAGGCTAGGGTCACTGAAGGAAAACTGTAATCCTCACAGGTTTGCCTGCTTCTAACCCTGGAAAGAAATGCAACAGCCTTGAAATTATATACAATGGAAGCCTCATCAGAGTTCATTTAGGAAATAACCTAACATGTCATATGAGTCTTTTCCTCTATCAGGTACCTATTGGAAATGTAATCTCTCTATGAATTGTGGTGAGACTGAACAGAGTAAGGAGACTGTTAGAGTCTATGATGAACTGTATGCTACAATGTTTTGGTTTTTAGGGGTCTCTCCTCAGTAAAATAATCCTGCACTTTTCTCTAATGTAAATTCAAGAGCCTTCCTCCACCTGCTGCTTCTCAACATTACATTTAGTATAGATCTTCAGGTGACCCCATCACAAATGACCACTGAACAGAAGTAGCTGGACACCCTTCTTAAACGTTATACTTCGGGCATGAGAGCAGTAAATGTTGAGGGCGACATTTACAAAGGAATAACAAAAAATTGGAAAGGAAATGTAACATCAGTGAACACCTAACAGGCACCCA